AGATATACGGGACCTACGATTTTAACGCCGATTCCGAACGGCCATTTTTTAAGAAGAGATTCTCTTTGGCAAAGATACTCTCAGTGGTTTGCCATTGCCTTCCGAGAGGTGGCGATCGCTTCCAAAATAATTAAAATCAATTTCAGAGTTGTATTATTCTGGGTGGATTTGAACCCGGATCTTTAGCTTATAAAGCTGCCGCGCTGCTCCTCGCGCCACGATCGCCATAATATACATATTATTATAATACAAAAGTTATACGTTATAATATGGAACATTTTAATATTAAGTTTCAGTTAATAATTGTTTTTCTTTTAATAAATTTAAAACGGCTTTTAATATAGCTATTTGATAATTGCATCGACGTAAATTTTGTTGCAAACTTCGTACTTTTCTTGCGTGTCCGACTTTCAGATGTTTAATTCGTTGTCTTAATCTGCACTTTTCTAGTAAATCATAAATTTGCTTTAATGATACCATTGTTGCTTTATCTTCTATAGATGGTAATGTCATTGTTGTTTTGTCTGCTTTTGTTGAAGGTTGTGCTAAAAATATAATAACAATAATAATATAAGTAATGCAGTTTTCTAAAAGTGAAAGTTTCCAAACAGTAAACATGCTCTAAATATGTATGATTATACATACATAAATATTATAAAATATCAAATATTAAATTTTTAACTTACAACATGCAACAAAAGACTCTTCTTCCTGTCTTTTTTCTATAAATGGCAATGCATTTGGCCTCAGTTGAATATGTGGATTTTTTCTATCAAATTCTTTTTTAAAATGAACAGAACAAATGCGTGCACTGCGATGGAATAAATGTTCGATCAAGACCCAAAATATCGATCCATAAATTGCGAGTAATGTCATTTTTTGGAAAACTAAAAACAAATACAATATTTAAAAAACTATTATGAAAATAGACTAATATTAAAGTTCTTTAAACATAATTAATATGAAATTTTAACTTAATAATCTATGTAACTTTCAGTTAATATGTAATTTAACTTTACCTATGAAATGTAACCTTTGGAATATTCTGTTGTTTTTTCCAATTTCGGCTGTCTGATCGATTTTTACATTGCGGCACATAACACAGTACCATTTTTTTGTTCACATCCATGTAATATTTGGGCGTTCCAAAATCCATCAGAAAAAAAGTGTCGCAACCTAAATGACCACGACATCATGTGATAATCTAGAACTCTATGGCTATTGTGGGCTTTGAAAGATAATCTAACCTATACTTGAACGAAAAAGGCGGCATATCAAGAATTCGAACGTTAATTATGCAGGTCAGTTATTCGATTGCAATTAATAAAATACTCGCGCAAATTATCATAAAAATTTTTTTGGCTTTTAAATTCTTGCGTTTTTTTTTTTTTTTTAGAAGAAGAAGGCTAGAAAAACAAGGCGTCAGCTTATAGCAGAAAAGGCAGTAATACAGCAGCAGCTAATAAACAAGGCAAATGCCTTGTCAAATCCTTTAGAAACTCTGCAAAAGTTCCACGAGTATATCGCGAAGGATAATAACACAATCAAGCTTTCTTGCGTTAAGGCGAAAGATGCATCATCGGAGTGTTTCTCCTGGATCTTAGATATTATGGAGAGAAATATGAAGGATATGTACGAGCAGTCCAGTTGGAGCTGGAACGCGGCTGAGAAGCAGGCGGAATTGACGGAAGAAACAGCGTGGTATTTGATAGCATTGTATGATGACAAATTTCTCGGCTTCTCACACTTCCGATTTGACATTGACAATGGCGACGTAGTATTATATTGGTATGTGTATTTTTTCCATGGTTGGGAGTTATTTTGTAAGAGTAACTCGTTACCATTACTCATTGATTTAAAGGAAAATTTCTTACCTTTACTCAATAATGAACAAGTCATTATTATTCTTGTTTACCTTTTTTCTTGATATTAGCATAAAACTGATACTGACATTGTAAATTTCTTTTTGGTAAATACAAATAGGAAGCATCATGGAATTCGATCCTCGAGCAAAGAAATAAGATGCAAAATTTAATTCAGTAAGCAAACTGTCTGCAGTATCGCAACAGATTGGCAGCAGATTTGTTCAGATATTGTGAAACATTTGGTATCACATGTGCACATATTGATATTTCATATTTTGTTAGCAGACCGATTTTCGTTAGTTTACCAATGTACTGTAAGATTACCGATGTAATCTTACAGTAATCGGCAGAAATTGAGTTGTATCTATCATTTCATAAATATTTAAATCGAATAAATCATTTAAATAGTTATGAAATAAAGTCCGTTTTCCAGCAAGTGTAACAATGAATTATTACTTACATCCTTGTTTGCCAACAAAGATGAAATAATTTACTGTGTCCTTGCTGAAAAACGCAGATTTTGCTCAGCAGTTTCTAGCACCATAATATTTTGTTAGCATAGAAAGCTTTCCAGCGAGTCACATAATACAGGAGTCATGTTTCTGTTCAATATTTGGTGAGAAACAATGATTTCTGTGTTAATTTGTATCTCTTGCTAGAAAATTTCTATATTTTGTTATATTTCTGCTGGTATTCTATTGACAAAATTTTTAGCACTTTCAAAATCTATTGATAGGTTTAGAAATCCGAATGACATACCTATATTTTATCATATTATATATATTATATATATTATATATTTTTATATATTTTTATATAGAATATTACAAAGAAAAACAAATTGCATTAAATATAGCCATAATCTTGGAGCTTTTTAGAAAAGCGACTTGATTGGCTACATGACTGAAACTGATTTCTCAGTCTCTGTCAGTATGTTTCACTATCCATCAGAGAACATAGAAATTATGCAAATGAATATTTGAAATATATACAGTAATGGTTAAAAATAACTTCAAATCGTTGGTGTTACTGACAGAATGTAACTGTGTTATAGATAAGGAAAGTTAACATTGATTATTATAATTCATTGCCGAAAAAAAGTAACGGTAACGCGTGTTACTTCCCAACTTGTATATTTCATACAGGATTATGCGTGCACGCGTAAAAAATAGTTCTTGATATGTGAAAAAATTAAGTATTTATGCATGTATAGCTATGAATTACAATTGGAACCATCGGCCAGACGCAAGGGGCTTGGTCGCTTTATGATGTCAGCTCTGGAATCCATGGCCTATCAGAATCAGATGCTGAAAGTCGTTTTAACAGTTTTCAAGCACAATCCATCAGCGATACAGTTTTTCTACGCTCTTGGGTAAATATTTACTGAAATATTTACTAACGCTATTATAAATATACAGATCGACGCTGGTATTTTAAATAATATTCCAATATTGATGATCCAAGTCCTTTGTACTACATTATATATAAAGCAGACTTCTTAAAGCCATTTACATATATGTGTATATATACGTACATCTTAGAATTGTTTAATAATGTATGTACAATGTAATACAAATGTATAATACAAGATTTTATATATATATATATATATATATATATATATATATATAAAATCGTTGTGTAACCCAAATCTATTTTACACAGTCTGCAATTGACTAGTACTAAAAATATTCGCTTTCGATAATAGTTTTATACTGGTTTGTCGTCACTCACAGTTCATTAACACTTTAACTGCCAAGTCGATTTCAATGAGTTCAATAGATTTACTATATTATTTTTTGTTTTGTTGTATTTTTAATATCTCAGTACAATCATATTTATTTAATGTTTTAAATACTTATTGTTAGTAAAATCATTCTTATATCTGTTTCTATCACTGTAGATTAATTTTATTCTCTATTTTCAACTTTTTATCTTTTTCTGATTCTTTGAAAAGAAAGTCTTTGACTAGAAAAAAACAAGTTAAACTGAAATTAAAGTTAATCTGCATTAGTAGCAATGGATTGGGTAAATAAAACCGTTATTCACAAATGAGTGACAAGACTCTTGCGGATTTCACGCGTCATCTAAACATAAGATTATATATGACAAGAAGATAATATATGACATGTGAGTGACAGCTAAAATTTTAACAGTAAATGTAACTATGAATGATATATTAGAATTTATATTTTGCATTTATATTCCTTCTGTTCAAAACAGAGAACTAAAGTCACATTTACATACGTCCATTTCTACCAATATAGGATTAACTTTAGTCTCGTTTAACTCACTTTTTATCTTCTAGTTCTAAGAATTAGA